CCGGCGAACTTGATTGTAATTCCGCCAATTCCGAAAATTCCAGCTACCAATCAAGCACGCCCTCAGTTACTGCCAATACTGGTGCGGATCCAGAATTTTTTTCGGGAGTAGGGAGGGGGGGTCACATCTCAGTCAAAATATTCCAGCCCAGAATTCCCTGACAAGCAGGAGAAAAAAAAACTGAAAACAAATAAACAAAATAAAAACAATGATAGTGTGGTCAATGTTTTCTAAGTTAGGGGGAGGATGTCCAAAGTCATTTTTATTTGCTTCAGTATATAGTCTTGTTAAAATAAAGCAAATTCCAGGGGGAGGGGATGGGGGGATTCCAATCTCCTTACCCACTCCCTGTCCCTGAAATAACAATCTCTTTTGTGATTCCAATTATTAAATAGTATATTTTTTCCATTTGACAAATTATACATATTTTGTTTCTTGTGTTTATATAATGTCTGTCTATTTGTCTGCAGAAATTATAACCTTGCCCATAAGATTTAAGTGGGATGGGCAATACAAATGGCTTCCACATTTTATAGGTTTATTTCTTGTGACAATTAAGACCTTTTATTTGGGTACCATTAATTTTTACCTCTGATCGCTTGACCTAGGATACACATTTTTACAAGAAAAATACCAAACTTTAAACTTGGCCTAAATTTTGATCAGTAGGTTCTAGGGCTTTCATGCTTAACATGTGTATTCATTGTGAACTATCAACAGGTATAAATATGTTTGACCTTGACCCTAGAGTTTGAACCACTTTAAAAAAAAATTAACCTCGGCAATTAACTTTTGAACAGGGATTTCTTTATTTCACATGTGCATTCCTTGTGACAAGACTTTCTTCTGATACTAACAATTTGAACCCTTTGACCTTTGAGTTTGACATATATTTGAGAAACTTCAACCTTCGCCATAGGCTTCCATACAGGGACATCAGTGTTTCACAAACACATCTTGTCTTCATTATTATTTGGTGGTGTCTCCATATGAGGGAAAAATTCCCAAGAGAGGTGTATTCAAAACAAACAAACAAATTACTAAAAAAAATATAAAACATGAATATGTTGGTCATGCATATCTCTGCATGAAAAAAAAAAACAGCTTTTCAAATACTGCAACCATATTGTAACCCTTTCAAAACACTCATTTGAGCTTTTCTGGTTTCCTTAGCATATAACATCTGTCGTGACGTGTCGTCCATCTGTTTTTCTGAAAACTTTTTACATTTTTAACTTCTCTAGAACCACTGGGCCAATTTTACCCAATTCATATAGAAATATGTACATTTGTATGTCAGACTGTCCGTCTGTCTCAATCAATTTAACCTTGGTCATCACGGTCATATCTACTGAATGAGAAGAGACATTCATATTAAACTTAAGTACTAGTATTTACCTTTGAGAATGGCATGGTTTTTTTTTTACATGTGACCTAGAAGTTTGACCTACTTGCAAAATAATTAAATTGTTAAAAATTCATAATTTTGAAAGATAAAAGTTAGGGCATTCATATCATAATGCATGTATATTATTACCTGTGATAAGACTTTTCCAAATAAATCATGACTTTTAATCTGTGACCTTGAAGCGGTCAAGCCTAACCTACTTTTCAAAAATGTTGCATTTGCTTATAACTTTTGATTGAGATGAGATATGACTCTCACATTTGACATGTACATTAATTACTCATAAGAATTCAAAGTGTTTCCCAGCATGCGATGCTTTTTTACCCCTTGACGTTGATGTTTTACATAATTTTCAAATATTTAGCTCTCCTAAAAGATGATTAGGCTTCTGAGTAACATTAAGGAAGACTTCAGAGACGACAGGCCTTTTTGCACAAAAAACGTCATTTTTCGACCCACTTATGACCCCCCAGGGCAAAATCTAAATTCCAAAACCTTACTGCACATCTACCTGACACCACCAACCATCTCCCAAAAGATGATTAGGCTACTGTGTAAAATGTAGGAGAAGTTCAGGGAAGACAGGGCTTTTTGCATAAAAAACATAATTTTTTTACCACCATTTGACCCCCTGGGGCAAAGTCCAAATTCCGAAACCTTACTGCACATTTACATGACACCACCAACCATCTCCCAAAAGGTGATTAGGCTGCTGAGTAAAATGTAAGAGGAGTTCAGAGAAGACGGGGCTTTTAGCATAACAAACATCATTTTTCGACCCCCATTTGACCCCCCAGGGCAAAATCTAAATTCCGAAACCTTACTGCACATCTACATGACACCACCAACCATCTCCCAAAATATGATTAGGCTGCTGAGTAAAATGTAAGAGGAGTTCAAGGAAAACAGGGCTTTTTGCATAAAAAACGTTATTTTTTGACACCCATTTGACCCCCCGGGGCAAGATCAAAATTCCGAAACCTTACTGCACATCTACCTGACACCAACAACCATCTCCCAAAAGATGATTAGGCTACTGTGTAAAATGTAGGAGAAGTTCAGGGAAGACGGGGCTTTTTGCATAAAAAACGTCATTTTTTGACCCCCATTTGACCCCCTGGGGCAAAATCCAAATTCAGAAACCTTACTGCACATGTACATGACACCACCAACCATCTCTCAAACGATGATTAGGCTGCTGAGTAAAATGTAAGAGGAGTTCAGGGAAGACGGGGCTTTTTGCATAAAAAACCTCATTTTTCGACCCCCATTTGACCCCCTGGAGCAAAATCTAAATTCCGAAACCATACTGCACATCTACATGACACCACCAATCATCCCCGAAAAGGTGATTAGGCTGCTGAGTAAAATGTAGAAGGAGTTCAGGGAAGACGGGACTTTTTGCACAAAAAACATCATTTTTCGACCCCCATTTGACCCCTCGGGGCAAAATCTAAATTCCGAAACCTTACTGCACATCTACATGACACCACCAATCATCCCCCAAAAGGTGATTAGCTATAGGCTGCTGAGTAAAATGTAGAAGGAGTTCAGGGAAGACGGGACTTTTTGCACAAAAAACATCATTTTCAACCCCCATTTGACCCCCCGGGGCAAAATCAAAATTCCGAAACCTTACTGCACATCTACATGACACCACCAATCATCCCCCAAAAGATGATTAGGCTGCTGAGTAAAATGTAAGAGGAGTTCAGGGAAGATGGGGCTTTTTGGATAAAAAACCTCATTTTTCGACCCCCATTTGACCCCCTGGAGCAAAATCTAAATTCCGAAACCATACTGCACATCTACATGACACCACCAATCATCCCCGAAAAGGTGATTAGGCTGCTGAGTAAAATGTAGAAGGAGTTCAGGGAAGACGGGACTTTTTGCACAAAAAACATCATTTTTCGACCCCCATTTGACCCCCCGGGGCAAAATCTAAATTCCGAAACTTTACTGCACATCTACATGACACCACCAACCATCTCCCAAAAGCTGATTAAGCTACTGTAAAAAATGTAGGAGGAGTTCAGGGAAGAAAAGTGTGACAGACGGACGGACGGACGGACATGAGTAACAACAATATACCCGAACTTTCTTTAGAAAGTGCGGGTATAACAAGCAAAAATCTACATTATCCATCACTAATGTCACTATCTAATGTATCATTTAGCATTGCAATCATACCTTTTAATGATAAACCCTTTGATAAAAAACAACTTCAAATCTGAGAAACACACGTCAAGACCTTTCATCGAATACCACTCACTTTGACCTTGAATTTGAGTTTGACCTACTTTTTAAAAACTTTAACCTTGGCCATAACTTTTGAACGGTAAGGGCTATGGTTTTCATCCTTCACATATGTATTATTTGTGACAGGACATTTCTAAAGAAACCAACAAATTCTTTCAGTTTGACCTACCTATCAAACATTTATTCTTGGCCATAAATGTTGATCAGATGGTGCAAGGGATTTCGTATTTCTTGTGAGAAGACCCTACTTTGGGAATAATATAATTAATTTGCGTTTGAGAAGAGTTAAATATTCGCTATGTTGCCATATAGGGTCATTAGTGTTTCACAAACACATCTTTTTCGTTATATTAAAAAGAAATAGGACTTTCATACTTGACATATGAATTAACTGTAAGATATTTCTGAGCATGCTATGATATCTAACCCCTTGAACTTGACCTTCGGCAGATGACCTTATTTTTAAAAAAGAAATATCAACCTCAGTGATAATTTTTAAATGACATACATGTATGATAGGGCGTTCATATTTGACACAATGTCAAAAAAAAAAAATGAAATCTCTAACCAACAAAGACACCAAAAGCCGGGCACTACAGTTCTTTGAGTTTGCTTGTAGTTTTAAAAAATGGTTGCTATTTCTTGACAAACAAATTATTTTAAATGTTGATAATTCAGAAATTGACACCGATTAACATTCATGACTAATTAATTAGTATAAAGTTCTATTTTGTTATAAAAGTAAAGATTGAAATAATTGAAAACTTAAAATGCACATAATACTCTTGATTGTTTTATTTCCCAATTTGTCCAATTCTCTCCCAAACAAACTCTTTACAAATTAGGGTCAGACATGACGTTCCTCAATATCTGTTTTGTATATCTTAGTAATGTATGAAAAATATTCAAAATCTTAATAACATTCTGATTTCTAAACCAGTTTCTAAACGTTTTTACAAAATCCAAAAACATAAACATTTGAAATTGGAAAATTAGTTTTCTTCCCAAAAGGATAATATAAGGAAAACTACACCTGGTGTCTTGCAGATATGCCTGGTAAGGTATCCCATTTTTTTGTGAGTAAACATGTTTAAGTTGCAATACTTCAATGACAAAATCTTTGAAAAAATTATCTATTATTAAGGAACGTCTTGTCTGCCCTTCACTATTGATATCCCCTGATCATATTCCCGTTTTGCACACATTTTTTTCTATACCTGAAATTCAAATGTGTGCAAAACGGGAACAAACCACCACAATAGATAATAATTTATAGAAATACAGGATTAATTTAATGTGAAAAACCATTCTTTATATCTATAGAACTTTTACAGAAACTATGGATCCCCACCTCAGTGTCCAAGATGTGATCAGATGTGACCTTTGTGAGACAGCTATAGTACAGATGTACTGTGATTTCTGTCATGTCAAACTCTGTAAACCCTGTATCGGAGAACATATTGCTGATGAATATGACAAACATAAAGTTGTTCCAGTCCAAGAAAGAAAATCCACCTTAATATATCCGAAGTGTGCAACACATCCAACCAAATCATGTGATTTACAATGCAGGGAATGTAAAGTTCCTGTTTGCTCCTTATGCTCTGCATCAGAACAGCATAAAGGACACAATTTTTTAGTCCTCGCAAAAGTATACAACTCCAAGAAAAAAAATATCGCAAAAGATACAGAGGAATTACAAAACATTATTTATCCTACATACAAAGAAATCACAAACGATCTAGAAACACAGATTACTAACTTGGATAGAGAATATGAGAAATTTAGAACATCCGTTACAGAACATGGAAAACAATGGCACAGAGAAATTGACAATGTCATCAACACCACGAAAAAAGAAATTGACGATTTTAAATTAAAACACATATACATTATGAAGAAACATGCAGAAGAAGTGAAACAAATACAGACTCTTATTGAACAAACTCTGCTCAACCTGAAGGAAAAAGAAGAATCAAATGAAGTGTCCCTGACCATGGAATACAGCTCCAGAAACAAAGAATACAGCAAACATCCTACCAAAGTTAACGTATCACTGCCCATTTTTAATGCTAATCCGGTAGATAGAGAACAGCTCTACAAGTTGTTTGGATCTCTGGCACCATTATCTACTACATCAGAAGAAAATGGCTACAACCTGAAGAAACCTGAAACATCAACCAGAGAACTGCATGAAGAACCAGAACTTATCACTACTATAGATACTGGGTATGAAAAACTATACAGTGTTACCTGCCTCAGTGAAGAAGAAATCTGGACAAGTGAAAAAGTCAGTGATATGAAATGCTTTAACATTCAAGGCTCACGTATCAAGACAATAACAAAGAAATCAGGAGGATGGCCAGGTGACATAGCAGTGACAGGTGATGGGGATCTAGTGTACTCTGATGGGAAGAAAAAGACTGTTAATAAGGTTACAAATGGAAAGACAAAGAAGATGATCAGACTACAGGACTGGACACCCAACAATCTCTGTGTCACCTCCACTGGGGATCTCCTAGTGGGTATCATGCGAAGTGATGATTAAACACAATCCAAGGTTGTCCGCTACTCGGGCTCCACAGAGAAACAAACAATCCAGTTTGATAAGGAGGGTAAACCTTTGTATTCAGGAAATGACAAGCTTAAATACATCAGCGAGAACAGAAACCAGGATATCTGTGTGGCAGACCTTGGAGCTGGTGCTGTTGTAGTTGTCAACCAATCTGGAAGACTTCGATTTAGATACACTGGTCATCTTCCTACTATAAAGAAGGAACCATTTAAACCCTTTGGCGTCACAACAGACAGCCAGAGTCAGATCCTGACAGCAGACTTGTATAACAACTGTATCCACATCCTAGACCAGGATGGAGTGTTCCTCCCTTATATTGATAACTGTGATCTTGAGAATCCATGTGGTTTATGTTTGAATAAAAATCATGTGTTTGTTGCTGAATGGAGAGGAAAGGTTAAGAAAATTAAGTACCTTGAATAGATATACATGTATATGCACATGCTTGTGAAAAGCATAGGTCTACATAGGTCATAATAGGTCTACTAATATTTTGTAAACAAATTTGAAATATTTAATTTTGTAAGTTAAAATTTCATTGTAATCAAAAGTCATATTTTTTCTTCAAGATGAGATTGGTAAAATGTAGACTTCATTAACTTAATTAGACTTAATTAAATATCAAGATATTTTTAGAGCAATTTGAAATGATAATGAAAGGATGTTTCATTGTTATAATAAAGATAAAATATCATATATACATTGAAATTATTGTATGATCTTCTGTTTTTTATTTATCTTTATGGGATTTATTGTCAATTCGAATCATCAGCGAGATGGGGTTAATTATTCACGGAAATGTGGCTAGGAAGTGACTAGCACGTGGAGACATGGTAAACAGAAAAGTTATGTTGCGTTTTAGTTTTCACCAACCTATAATATCATTCTGTAGAAATGTACTTCAATCGATCTTTCCTGAATTCATTCAAGTTTAAATTATTTCTTAGTTTTCTTTATAATACAATTTTCTGCTCTCATGAAATAAAATTTCTTTTTGGACAAATATTTTGCAAGGGAACGGGGACAATATTTTTTGTCGTCAGATTAGCAAATGAGGCACCAATATGACTTTAAATGACAAATCAGATGAATGAGATTTGGATTATGGGTTACTATACGAATACTACAGGAATTTTACGCCTAATAAATTCCTTTATTGCACTATCGGTGAATACAAAATTTGCCAGATGGATTCCCCGGACAACACACGTGATCACGGGTATAGTTATGTAAAATGTTTTGTCCATTTAAATGCATTAGAGAAGCTGCTCGTTTTCCTAACCCTTGAAGTGCTGGTGTTCTGAACTTGACTCGAACTACGTATACATTTTATAAAACATATTTTTCTCTAGTTAACAACAAATTAAAAACGCCCGTTATATTTTTCATAGTTTCTAATGCTTGTATTTTGTACAAAAAAATATTTTTTTTGCACTCCATTGACATGATCATAGATTGACCTGAACCACGTGTTCGAAGTAACATGTAAACAGGTATTTGGCGTAAACGTATTCAATCAACAATTGGTCAGTTGCTCGTGGTAAGATCCTCTGAGCGCATTGATAGCAATAGCCATATAAGGCAAACAAAGGTTTGTCAGTGTAAATGTTATTACACATTTTTTACCATCGTATCGGTCGCTAGTGAGCTGTAATTTTTTGCACTTACATGTAACTTTAAGATGTATTAATTGTTGTTTACCCCTTCCCCCCCCCCCCCCCCCCGCTTTAAGCCACCCAATTCTGTTGCAAATCATAAGAGTCTTTCAAAAAGGTGTGGAAACACACATTTTTCACAGGACATGTTTTCTGAAGAAACAGACGATAGCAATTTCCAAAATTTAAAAGTTAAAAAGATAATTTTTGTTAGGTCACACAAAAAATAATCCTTTGTTTACATTGCGTGAAATCACCTTTGAAAAATTAAATTTATCGCTTACATGTATAACTCATGAAGAACAAACCCGAGCATTTTTCCACAAAAAAAAAATCTTTAAAAATATCTGATTTTCCTTCATTCTGTAAATACGTATATTAATATAAAAATTACTATAATGGATTATATTCAGTTAATTTCTTAATTTTTGAAAGATATATCATGACTTAGGATTTTACTAACGGAAAAAGATACTCGGGTTTGAATTCTCTTCATAATTATCGATAAAAGTATATTTTTCAAAGGTGACTTCAAAACAGATCTTAACTTCCCGTCAGGAACTGCTGTTTGTCAACAAGGTTTTTGGTCTATGTCTTCCATGTAAGGATTGTTGAAATAAACTGTTAAATAAATCTTATAATTATTTTTTATATATTATCTATGTAATGACATACTTTTATTGCTTAAGATAATATGTGCCTGTTTCGGATGAAGCGGCTTTAAGTTTAAAGTTAAAGACATGGTAAATAGACGCTGTATATCATGTTTAAAATTTGTGAACTTCTGTTAATATATTTTAGACAGTTATTATCATAAAATAATTATTGCAAATAATTTCATTTATGTGACATGTTCTTGTTTTATTATGTTATTATATAACAGTGTCTGTATTGTACATAGCTTTATACTAAGCAGCTATTCGGTTCTTTTTATTGAACTAATTTTACCCCTTTTCCTACATCTAAATATGGGTTCAACCAATCAGCAAGGCTCTTATCCATCACGTGATCATTATTGATCCGTTTACCAAAAGAGAAAGCATGGTTTTATTGAACTACTGGATTTTTCGAACCCACCATCCACCCCATCTGCCACCTATGCTTGTAATTTCTTTCAGATTGACATTTTTGTTGTTATGTTTTACCCATCTTTTTTGATAGTGTTTGAATAGGTTTAAAAGAGATTTATAGCACTTATTTTCTATCGCACGTTCTAACTGAACAGTAAACTTTTTGTACATTGTAATAAATGGCAAATCCATATATTAGGTTACTGAGAATTAGTCCGACATTTATTTTATGTACATCGCAATTTTGCTTTGGTCTGCAGGTTTCCATATGATTTTTCAACATATATATGGGTTTTCCTCGGCGGTGAGAGAAACATAGTTTTGTTCAATTTTAATGGTTTTGTTATTGGCTGTTTGTTATTTTTTTTTTCCCCCACCTTTTTTAATGACAGGCAGCAGTTTAGAGCATTTTGTATATGTCTTCCAAACTTAGGATGTTTATAAGGGGGTCAACTTAAAATGCATACTGTATATTGTACCTTGTGAAAGATTATAGGGTTTGAATTATTATTCTAGTCTGGTTGACCCCCCTTTTGCCTATGTACATCATGTTTCAATGTCATTATGGTGCTGGGGGTCAGATTGTGTAATATTTTGACTAAGATGTGTAATACTCTATATTTGAGTCCTCCTTTTTTTGACCCCCACTGTGTTAACTGTTTTATTTTTCCGTCATTTACTTTAATAAATGACATATTTCACTTCAGCATGATGTTTTTTTTGTTTTTGCCTGTTTATCAAAAAACAAGCTCAGTCGTTTGGCAGGAGAACTAAGGAACATAAAATATGAAATTTTTTTTTTTGCTTTAATTAAATCAAATATTTGGAAAATTCTTCCTCGATTCAACTGTGTGTTTTGATGTCTAAAAACATTAACTATTTTTATAGGATCTGCATGGTGAATACATTGGAAATAATTTTAAATCAAAGAACGGCAAGAAAAAGTTACACGAGATATGAAGTGTGAAACACTAGTTAATGCCCGTGTAATTACCAACATATGATGGATTCTTTGTTGTTTAACGTCCTCTTCATGGAAATACACTCAAATAGAGTGATGTCTTCTAATTCAGACTGTGAATAGGCAATTTTCACACCACAAATGGAAAATTGTCATTACAATGAAATAATAAATCGAAACTTGAACGAGAATAAAGTCCTTGACATCTTTAGAAGAAGGTTGTAATTTGTGTTAATAAGACTAACAGGTGTAAAGCCGAATTTTAAAAGAAGAAATCGACATTTTCTCAGCGAATGATTTGGAAATAGAATGCTCATCTAGACACAAAACAAGTCCAAAATGATAAATAGTAATGATAACAAAATTTTACGCGATTTTTCTTTTTAAAAATCTACAATAATACACAATGAACAAATCTGTGAAATGAATATAAAATGGGAATCAAAGAAATTTCAGAAGAGGAATCAGGTGTCCTAGAGGATTATGTATCCCGTACACCGGACTCACCCACTGTGAGTTTCATGTATTGATCAAATAAAAGAAATATTTATAGTTGAATTTCTTTTGCATAAAAAGAAAAGCATTAAAGTTGTCATGAAATATGCAAGACAAAATTCAACCAAGTTTAAGGTTAACAACAACAGAATTATTGAAAACCTGATATCAGTTGTTATGACAGACCCTTCAAATCTTAATTTTTAACTTTACATTGTAAACACAATGATTCCCACAAAAAGATTTGAGTCCAGGCTTTTTTAATACACTGACAGCTGCTTTTCAATGAAAATTTAACATGTAAAAATACTTACCTTGGCGTTGGCCATTTGCTTAGTTCTAATTTCTATTTTGCTTTATTATTTTATTATTTAACAAGCATTCTTATAATTTAACTTTCAGTCTTGCCTTTTCAGTTTGTTAGCAGATTGTTAGCACATAACATATCATCAGATACATGTTTATCAACCATAAAGCACACTGATGTGGCCCTGTTCATTGGACCATATCACAATCATAGATATGTATCATAAAACATCCTAATCCTATCCTCATATGGCATTTAATATCTTGTTGTTTTTGTTGTAAGTAGCAATTAGAAAAGCGAAAGAAAAAAAAACCTTCAGATGATCGACATCCATTTGTTGAAGAAACTACGGTTTTAAAGCCCTGTAGCTTATTTATTCATCGTTATAAGTTTATCAATCAAAAAAAAAAAAAAAGCTATAGAATTTTAAGAGACGATGTATTTGAGGGTCAAGGTTTCAATACAATGAAATGTAATAAAACTTACATTGGTTGACAACTTTTCAGTGAGACTTCAGTGAGTTAAATTTGTGATGCAGTACATATTTCATAAAAGATACAGTGCATTGGAAAGAAAATTAATAGTCTCAATGTATTGTAATTAACACCTCCGACTTTACAATTACCCGCAAGGGTCCTTCATTCAATTCGTACTTCGCATTAACCTCTTAGAAGTGTATATTCCTTTTATCTCAGCGAGATGTCGTAGGGACTTGAAATTTGAACTGGTTTTCGTCGATGTGGGTGGGTATTATTTTTAATACATACACGTATGTATGTTTATTTGAAACCTATACAGGGGTGTTGAAGAGGCTAACACCCCCATCGCCTCAAATACACACATTTGTATTAACCAGGTACTAGAATATGCTCACCTGGAAGGCCATATATAAATATTTTCTTTTAAAAGGTCGGATATTGAACAGCTAATCAGAGAGGTGGGACTTGATTTAAAAAACATTAAAAAATGGGGGCGTGCTCCAAGTTCTTTTATTAACACAATTAACACTGCAAGAGCGATAACTCTGAATTCAGAACGATCAGAAAGCCTGAACTGTGAAGAAAACAGGTCTTGGGCGGACACCATGTAGACGTGATTATAAAAGAACTGACGAATGACTTATGTCATTCTACCAGTGTGAGACAAGTTTTCTAGTGACTACAACGGTAATTATATTTAAAAATTCATTATATAAACTAATCTTGCAAATGTACTTTCGGTTTGTATATTTCCATGATCACATTTCAGGTCATTTCAAATTCAACATAAAATTGAAACTCGAATTAGTCAAGTCTGTAAATATAAAATAACGTTGTTAAAAATAAATTCCAATATTAACAATTTGTATTTTAAATACCATATAACATGGATATGTACCTTTATTATACAGTTAAATACAAGAAAGTAATATTCACGCATATAATCATTGACCAGTCTAAATAATTATTAACTCATAAAAATGCAGGATTAATTTTAAGGATGAAATAATTCTTCATTTATAGAACTTCTACAGAAACTATGGATCCCCTCCACAGTGCCCAGGATGTGATCAGATGTGACCTTTGTGAGACAGCTATAGTGCAGATGTACTGTGATTTCTGTCATGTCAACCTCTGTAAACCCTGTATTGGAGAACATATTGCTGATGAATATGACAAACATAAAATTGTCCCATTCCAACAAAGAAAATCAACCTTGATCTATCCAAGGTGTGCTACACATCTAACCAAATCATGTGATTTACAATGCAAAGAATGTAACTTTCCTGTTTGTTCCTTATGCTCTGCAACAGAACAGCATGAAGGACATAAATACTTAGTCCTCGCAGAAATATACCACTCCAAGAAAAATGATATCGCAAAAGATACAGAGGAATTACAAAACATTATTTATCCTACATACAAAGAAGTCACAAACGATCTAGAAACACAGATGACTATCTTGGATGGAGAATATGAGAAACTTACAACAGCCGTGACAGAACATGGAAAACAATGGCACAAAGAAATTGACATTGTCATCAATGCCATGAAGAAAGAGATTAATGATTTTAAAGTAAAACACTTTGGCATTATGAAGAAACATGCAGAGGAAGTGAAACAAATACAGCCTCTTATTGAACAAACTCTGCTTAACTTGAAGGAAATAGAAGAATCAAATGAAGTGTCTATGACCATGGAATACAGCTCCATAAACAAAGAATTCAGCAAACTTCCTCCCAAAGTGAACGTATCACTGCCCATGTTTAATACTAAACCAGTAGATAGAGAACAGCTCTACAAGTTGTTTGGATCTCTTGCTCCATTATCTACTACATCAGAAGAAAATGGTTACAAACTGAAGAAACCAGAGACATCAAACAGAGAACTGCTAGAAGAACCAGAACTTATCACTACTATAGATACTGGATATGACAATCTCCGCAATGTTACCTGTCTCAATGAAGAAGAAATCTGGACAAGTGGAGAAATCAGTGATATGAAATGCTTTAACATTCAAGGCTCACTTATCAAGACAATAAGAAAAGAATCAGGGGGATATCCACATGATATAGCAGTGACAGGTGATGGAGATCTAGTGTACTCTGTTGGGATGAAAGGGACAGTTAATAAGGTTATGAATGGACAGACGAAGGAGATGATCACACTACAGGGCTGGACACCTAACAATCACTGTGTCACTTCCTCTGGGGATCTCCTGGTTACGATGTGCAGTAAAGATAAAACACAAACCAAGGTTGTCCGTTACTCGGGTTCCACAGAGAAACAAACAATCCAGTTTGATGAGGAGGGTAAACCCCTGTATTCAGGAAATGTCAACATTAAGTACATCAGTGAGAACAGAAACCTGGATATCTGTGTGGCTGACAGTGAAGCTGGTGCTGTTGTAGTTGTCAACCAAGATGGAAAACTCAGATCTAGATACACTGGTCATCTTCCTACTATAAAAAACAACCCTTTTAAACCCTATGGCATCACAACAGACAGCCAGAGTCAGATCCTGACAGCAGACGTGTATAACAACTGTATCCACATCCTAGACCAGAATGGACAGTTCCGCCGTTATATAGATAACTGTGATCTGAAGTACCCATGGGGATTATGTGTGAATAAAAATTATCTGTTTGTTGCTGAATGGGGAGGAAAGTTAAAGAAAATCAAATACCTTAAATAGAGATACATGTATATGTACATGCTTATAAAAAGGTGTTCATAATGGGTCTATTTTTTAAATAAATTTCAAATATTTCATTTTGTAAATTAAAAATTCATTGTTAACAAAAGTCATATTTTTTTCAATTAAGTTATCAGAAGATGAGATTGGGAAATGTAGACTACATTAACATGATAAATATCAATATATTTTCAGAGCAATTTGAAATTTTGTATGAACGGATGTTATATTGTTATGAAAGGGATAAAATATTAGAAATACATCATATACATTTACATCATTTCTTATTAAAAAAAATTCTTAAGTTCAAAGTTAAAGACATTGTAAATAGATACTGTATATTATGCTTTTAAGTGTGTATGTTTGTAGCAAATTTTGTTGAAATATTTAGAAAAGTAAAATTCTTCCACGATTTAGTTGTGTGTTATGATGCCTTAAACATAAATTATGAACTGTTTTTATAGGCTCTGCAGTTTAGTTCCATTGGAAATTATTTTAAATCAAAGAAAGGCAAGAAAAAGTTACAGGAGATATAAAGTGTGAAACACTTAACACACATGTAATTACCAACATATGATTAATTCTATAATGAAAATAAAAAAATCAAGACTTAAACGTGAGTCAAGTCCTTGATATCTTTAGAAGAAAATTGTAATTTATGCTGATACGACTGGCAATTGTAAAGCTGACCTTTGAAAGAAGAAAATAATATTTCCTCTAAGAATGATTTGGAAATAGAATGCTCATCTATACACGACTTACCTCCAGGTTTAAGAATCATACACTTTGTTTCCGGTTTCACAACATCCAAAAGGGTTGAAAATGAGTTCGTGAAAACGTGTACGTTCGGAAGGTAGAAAGAAGCCACCTCTAGCAACGCACGTAGCAAGGGGGGGGGCAGTTTTTTTCAAACATAACTTTTATCAATTGAAAATATTCAATGAAAGACAGGTGACCCCCTCCCCCTTTTTTTGTTAGAGTAAAGTAAAAAAAAGGTAATTTAGTATTTTATGAAGAAAATTTAGGACTGAAAGTTGAAGTAGGACTCTACCGACGATGTATTGTTAATAAACAATAGTTATGCATAAGTGCATGCTTACAATATACATTTATTGACTGGGTTCGAGGGCAACATGTGTTTTGTCGGACCCAAGAACCAAACAGTCTGCTTGAGGCTATTGGGCCAAAAGCAGACAGTTTGGTTCGAGGGTCCGACAAAACGCATTTTGTCCGAGAACTCTGTCAATAAATATTTTGTTATACCTTTCATTTTATTTTATTTTTTTTTTTACATACATTTATTTTGTACTGTATTCCGTGATGTAACATCAGGTCTGTCACTGTTTAACACCAACAAATGAAAATGAGATTAAGCCCCGCCCATTCTGTGATGTAAGCAGTCCAACATCTCACCGAGCGGTCCCACTCAGTGTTCCAACATCGATTTTTTATGCCCGCTCAGCAAAACATTAAAAATGCTAGACTTTTTTGTATAGATTTATATAGGAACAAATATTTAAAGGTAGAACAAAATATATATTTTAAATGTTTTCTTTAAAACTGAGGGCACAGGAGTTTAAATTGCAAGGTGTAAAGTTTTTGATGCAGTTGAATAGCTCTCACTAATACATATCAGCATATTATGTTTGATAAACACCAGTCATCTTTTAAATAAATGAAATACATGTTCGAGATTTTCTAAGGAATCAATGTAGATTCATATAAAAATTGATCTCTGCTGAAGTTGACCATATGTTTTATATAAAATCTTTAATCCAAGGTGCACTTGTAATTAAATAAGGATGCCTTAATTATTTCCATGTGTTCAACTACATGTAACATATCTCTGCATTTGTAATACAGTTGAACTTCGTTTTCCTTGAACATTGATATCTTGAATACTATGGATATGTTGAACTGATTTAAAAAAAAAAACAAACCACTATTACATTCAATATCGCAAATCCCTGGACATCTTGATTTTTTTTTTATCAGACCCACTGAATTTGATATAACAAAGCTTGACTGCATTTAGACAGTGTGTTGTTATGTAGATAACCTGAATAAACAAAATAAACCCAGATTTCTCTTCATGCTGAGTAATTTTAATGCATATAGATATCCTAATAAAATAAATGTTAACTAAATGCTTTTACAAAATCAACCTGATTCTTTGTTACAAAAATGGCACTGACAAATGAATGTACATGTATAGGCACCAGAGAAAAAATGTACACATGAAATGATGATGTGAGTATGCATCAACTGATTTTTTTTATTCAAAACAAAAAATGTCCTGACAGGCGAATCAGTCCAAATTGTACAAAATAAACACACAAATATAACTGATATTAATGTGACATGCAGATAGTCTGTGAATGAGATATTGGTTTGCAGGCACAACCTATTTTAGCCCTCTCCCTAAAACAGGAAAAATGCAATCATGATCGGATATTTTTAATAAACAATTCATCAGTGCATCATTGACTCCCCGAATCACAGAATTTCAGCATCACACCCCTCTTTTCCTTCTCTATCACATGATGTTATCGGGGTTACAATAGGGATAAATTTTCTCAACTCAGTTTCCAATATTTTGATTTCCTTTATAACATACACTTTCTTTTCTTTGCCCTGAATGTCGTAAATATTAATCAGAGATTCTTCAAATGATTATTTTTTCCTCTCTTGTATCAAACAATATTTTTATTCATTTTTTAGTTTATTTTATAATTTAGCACTAGTTTCATATGATATAAATGATAATATCAGACTGGAATAAGCATTTCAATGAATTCAACTTTCAGACCTGACTTTTCTTTTCAGTTTGTTAGCAGATTGTTAGCAAATAACACATCATGAAATACATGTACATCATCCTTCAAGTGTGAATGTGGTGAAAATTTGGCTTTGTAAAAACATTGTATTAAGTCTGTATATTTCGTATTTCTATTGTCATAACTCTTACCCATGGAAAACGTGAACCTTTTTTTTTAATTTTAATTAAGGGGGCCGACTATAGTTTCCATTGCGCAATATTTCGCGTATCGTAGTAAAATGAAGCGGTAACCGTTTTAATGCAACTTTTTTTCACTTGATTATTAAAATTAAACAAAATTAAGAAATAATAGGCATTAAAATGTAATTACAATTTCATTTTTGATTTTTTAACCGATTGTGCAATTGATAGGTAGGTTGACGTCGTTGCAGTGTGTTTTTGACGTTATGATAATCTGTAGCTCTTAAAGAAAGGGGTATAATAAAAATATTATCAAACAAAAAGTTATGAACATACGCTCTTGAATTTAAAACATAGAAATTGTGTTTCTTACATATATGCTATAATATAGTATTACTCATCAAATATTAAAATTTGAACAAAAAGTCTATTGTAGTATTTGTATGATTTGCTTTAAAGTGCTAAAAATTGGCATTTGCTATATAATCCTATAGTAAATGTACCTGTATTTTGCGTCGGTCCCTCAAAAATACCTGGACGGTAGATTTCCCCAAAACTTTGCATATACACTGATGTTAATGTAAGTTATAATGAAGAGTTTCGCTATTGTAGTTTTCACACAATAAAACTATAGTCGGCCCCCTTAAATCTAGAATAACCTCCTTTTCATTTTTCTGTGTTCTTCTTATCCTGATATAGCATTAAATACCTTGTTTTTTTTGTGGTAAATAACAATGAGAAAATTAAGCGAAAAAATAACTTTCAGAAGGAGATCGACCTCCATTTGTTTGGAAACTACTTTTTAAAAACCCTGTAGCTTATTTATCTTGATATGTTTATCAATCAAACGAGAAAAGATAGAATTTGAGTTTTTATTTGAGGGCCATGATCCCAATACATTGAATTGTTATCAATCTTACACATATGGGTAAAAGAACTTAGTTGGTCTGTCTTGACTTGAGTGTATTAAATGTCTGATGCCATACGTACCTTCTTCATAAAAAGTATAGTGCACTGGAAAGAAATCTAATCTAAATGTACTATACGTGACACCTCCGACTTTGAAATTATCTATACAAAGTTCCTTAATGCATGTGATTCTTCGGATTTAACCTTCAAAGAAATGTGTTTTTCCTTAATCTCAGTGATGATAGATGTCTGTAATGTTCAAAGCTAAGGGAAGGGGACAATGCGAGATTGATGATCTTCAGACTTTGAACTGTTGAACTGTGTCACCTATAGTCATTTTGCTAAAAAGATTCAAAAAAATTAAAAAGGGGGGATGCTCCAAGTTCATTCAACGCAATAAAAGCTGCAAGAGAGATAACTCTAATATCAGATCGATAACAAACTCTGAACTGTGGAGAAGACAGGTCTAGAGCTCAGACTATGTAGATAGGATAAAAAAGAACTGACGAATAACTTTTATCACTCTACCAATGTGAGACAAGTTTTCTAGTGACTACAACGGTAATGATATTTAGAAATTCATTATAGAAACAGTTCTAGCAAATGTACTTTCGGTTTGTATATTTTCATGATAATTTTTCAATACCAATTTAGCCTGAAAGGTAATTTCCAATACCAATTTAGCCTGAAAGTTAAACTCAAATTAGTGAAATCTTATATGCAATAAAGTTGTTAAAGGTATAGATTCCAACATTAACAATTTGTTTTTTTAGAATACCATATCACATGTATAGTACCTTTATTATACACTGTTATAGAGTTATATACAATGAAAATAAAATTATGAATTAGATTCATTAAACAGCACAAATAATTATTAAATCATAAAAATTTAGGATAAGTTTTAATGATAAACAAATCTTTATTTACAGAAAATCTAAAAAAACTATGGATCCACACCTCAGTGCCCAGGATGTGATCAGATGTGACCTTTGTGAGATAGCTATAGTACAGATGTACTGTGATTTCTGTCATGTCAAACTCTGTAAACCCTGTATTGGAGAATACATTGCTGATGACTATAACAAACATCAAATTGTTCCATTCCAACAAAGAAAGTCAACCTTGATTTATCCCAAGTGTGCAACACATCCAATCAAATTATGTTATTTACAATGC